CCATAGAGCGGTGCAGCCTGGCGCTCTGCTGTCGGCTGCAATCACGTGTTGGTGCTGACGAATCAGGCGCAAAAGTCAAGTGTCTGCTGATTCGCTGATCCTGGTCGGGAGCCGCAGATGGGCTGGGTAGTCCTCGAGGCGCGCTTGCGGATCTGGGTCGGCAGAGAGAAGAGCCGGCGGCCTCTGGCCGGTGGTGCAGGTCGTCTTTGTGCAACGGCCACTTTAGAGCTGCGAGAGAGTGGTGGGCGCACGAGAGAGAGCGAGAGACAGGGCTTCTTTTTCAAAGGAACTGATCGGCGGGCGGCACTCTAAACAGCGCGCTCTTCCTTTGTGGTGCTGCTGGGCGCGGCTTGAAGGGGAGCGCTGGGGAGCATAAACAAAACCTCGCAACAACAATGTTGCGCTGATCCGCATTGTCACACGTTCTCTCTTTTACTACGTTTCGACAGCCCGCCAATGGGCAGCAAGAGCAATTGTTCCTAGGAGTTGTTTTGCGTGTGGTCTGAGTTTATTGCGCCTGGCGGCAGTGGTCCGCTGGAAACAAAAAAAACAAGTTTCAGCGGGAGTGGCTAACGAGCAGGCTTTTTATTATTAGCTCCAAGAGTCCTGGGTCGCCCAGCGCCTTTCTCTTCTCTCCGGTTCAATACTATCTTCCTTCCTTATTATCTGCTGATGGCATTATTGGGTTCTTCCTTTCCTTTCACTCTACGCGTTCACACTCCTCACTAGCAAGCCCTATTCTCCTCCTCGCCCTTTCCTCCATCCTGTTTCCGACATCAAACAACCACCCCCTTCCACTCTCTCTACCCTCAGTCCGAATACACCCACCCCGATAGGCCAAAGAAAACCCACATAAATCACGACAGCTCCCACCACGGGCCACGAACAGCAAGCCCCAGCATCTCTTTCCTTTCTACCACCATCAACTTGAAGAGCATAATGAGCAGCAATAAATCACAGTCGCCGTTTGAGCATGGCGGCCTCAGCCAGGACCCACGGTACGACCCAGACTCTCTGCACTACGGGGGCTACCGGCACGAGTCCGGCGCCTCCGAATACCACGTGCCCCTGCCCAGCTACCACCTGAACCAGCAGCCCTTTAGCCACAGCACCGGCGAGCTGGCCGCCCTTAACCGCCAAGCCACCCGCGGGCGGTCGGAGAGCGACGGATACAGGTCCATGTCGGCCAGGTCATCAGAGGACCGCGCGCCCCTGACCACGTTCTTTGGCACACAGGCGTGGCAGCGGCTGTCGACCAACCTGCCCTCGGGCGTCCGTGACCCCCTGAACATCGACGAGCTCGAGAGGGAGGAGAGACTGATGATGCCCCCGTATGGTAGACAGGGCGGCCTGAGTGCACCGGCCATCCAGCCAGTCTCCAGTATGCCGACCAATGCGGCATCGAGGAGCCACCTCAACAGCTCAATGTATGGCTCGCAGCCCTACCAGTCGTCCAGTGGACATGCAACGGGCGAGAAGCAGGGCTCCAGGCACATCAGCGAGATATCAACAAGCTTCCTCAACTCGAATGCCGGTGGGAGCAATGGCGTGCCGATGCTTAGCGAGAAGACAGGCAGCAGCGGAAGCGCACTGCCGGCTCCACCACTGGATTGGGCGTACATCCAGGACCACAATTTGCGGAATGGCGGCCTGCCCTCGCTTGACCAGGTGCTGACGCGCCGCACGCGTGCGCCCCTCGCGCTGCGCGACTTTGCGGTTCACTGCTCTGTGAGACAGCCGCAGGCGCGCAGGTGGCTGGAGTTCTACATGGCGGCGCGGACGCACGAGAAGAT